GGAAGAAATATGGAGAAGAAAAGAGGATCAGGGAAAAAATGCTGTATTGTGTAGTATTGAACAGATTTATATTGAAAAAGTTCATGTTAAATATTTGAACCCAGACAACATATTTACTAAGCACTAAAGACTGTAATTCTTAAAAATTAATAAAACTTTAATAAAAAAGAACTCTGATAAGTTGAAAGACAAAAAGGAAAAATGACAAGTATAAAAAGTGGAAAGAGGGGCAAATAACAAAGGCAGAATATCAGCAAACAGGCCAAGCCTGCAAAGATGAAGTGAGGAAAGCTAAGGTTCAAAATGAATAAGGCTTGCGACAGAAGTCAAAACTAACAAAAAAAAGCTTCTTTCAACATGTAAAAAACAAGAAAAAAAGTCAAACGATTGGTCCATTAGTGGGAGAAAGTGGCAAGAAAGGTGATAAGCAACAGAAAGAAAGCAGAACTACTTAACTCATTTTTTGCCTCCGTCTTTACACAAAGGGAAAAAACAGTCCCAACTATCAAAAACTATACCATACAAAACAGATTAGAAACACAAGTTAAAATAGGCAAGAAAATGGTAAGTGAGCACCTGTCCACCCTAGACGAGTTCAAATCACCAGGACCAGATGGATTACACCCCAAGGTTCTGAAAGAACTGGCAGACGTGATCTCAGAACCACTGAACTATATCTTTCAAAGATCCTGGAGCACCGGGGAACTACCAGAGGACTGGAAAAGGGTTGATGTAGTTCCCATCTTCAAAAAAGGAAAAAATGTAGATCCAGGAAACTACAGACCTATCAGCCTGACCTCAATACCTGGGAAGATTCTGGAAAACATAAGCAATGAATCAGTGAACACCTAGAAGCAAACGAAGTCATAACCAAAGTCAACATGAGTTTATCAAAAAGTTTATGCCAGACAAATCTTATTCCATTCTTTGCCAAGATGACAAAATTAGTAGACCAGAGGAAGGTTGTAGATATAATTTACTTGGATTTCAGTAAGGCATTTGATAAAGTAGACCACAACATACTACTAGATAAGGTAGAAAAATGTGGGTTAGACAGCATCAGAACCAGATGGATTCGTAACTGGCTGACCAATTGCACTCAACGTGCAGTCCTCAATTGAACTGCATCTACATGGACTTATGCAGTGTGGTACCTCAAGGCTCTATTTTTAGGCCCAGTACTGTTCAACATCTTCATCTATGATTTGGATGAGGGGATAGATGGAGAACTCATCAAATTTGCAAATGACACCAAGCTGGTAGGAATAGCCAACACTCCAGAAGATAGGCTTAAGATACAGAAGGATCTTGACAGACTTGAATATTGGGCACTATATAACAAAATGAAACTCAATGGTGAAAAAAGTAAGGCTCGACATTTAGGCAAGAAAAACCAAATGCACAGGTACAGCATAGGTGGTAACTCGCTCAATAGTAGTAACACTGGAGGGATCTTGGGTCTAGTGGACAATCACTTAAATATGAGCCAACAGTGTGTTGCAGCAGTCAAAAAAGCCAACACAGTTCTAGGCTGCATTAACAGAGGGATAGAATCAAGATCACATGAGATGTTAATACCACTTTACAATGCCTTGGTAAGGCCACACTTGGAATACTGCATCCAGTTTTGGCCACCGCGATGTAAAAAAGATGTTGAGACTCTAGAAAGAGTACAGAGAAGAGCAACAAAGATGATCAGGGGACTGGAGGCTAAAACATATAAGGAACGGTTGCTGGAATTGGGTATGTCTAGTTCAGTGATGGCGAACCGTTTAGAGACCGAGTGCCCAAACTGCAACCCAAAACCCACTTATGCATCATCGGGTGCCAGGTCGGTGTGGCCCATTGGGTGGGCATGGCCCATTGGGTGGGCATGGCTATAGTGGTAACGGCAGACTGGGTGGGACTAAAAAGTGCAATCAATCAATTCCAACTTTGCAAGATCTTTTTTTTTCTGCAAGAAGTTGAAATTGACTGATTGAACCTTTTGGTTTGTACACGGCAGCAGAGGCCTAAAGCGAAACGGTTTTATAAAACCCAGCTGAAGGCCTAAGACTGGGCGATGGCGCGTGTGCCCACAGAGAAGGCTTGAGTGCTGCCTCTGGCACCCATGCCATAGGTTCACCACCACTGGTCTAGTTTAATGAAAAGAAGGACTAGGAGTGACATGATAACTGTTCCAATATCTCATGGGTTGCCACAAAGAAGAGGGAGTCAAGCTATTGTCCAGAGCACCTAAAAGTAGGACAAGAAGCAATGGATGGAAACTAATCAAGGAGAGAAGCAACCTAGAACTAAAAAGAAATTTCCTGCCAATTAGAACAATTAATCAGTGGAACAACTTGCCTCCTGCCTAAGCAGGAGGTTGAACTAGAAGACCTCCAAGGTCCCTTCCAACTCTGTTATTCTATTCTGTTTTGTTCTATTCTACTAATAAGTAGAATTAGCAAGGTGCATAATTTGTATTCTAGTATCTAATAATAACAATGAAAAATAAAATCTGTTTTGTGATGCATTAGCAGAATTAGCCTATCTATAACCATAAATGTTTAAATACCAGTACAGATATTTTCTAAAGTATAAATAATATTTAAGCAAATTAAAAACAAAAAAATATAGGAATAATCACTGTTGAGTAGAATCTCACATTCAGTTGTGTGCTATACAGAAGGCCATGTTTGAAAAATGGGTAGGTCAGAGTAAGAACAATTTTTTTTTATCAGCCAAATTGATTGTATTTGTATAATGTATAAAATATATAAAAACATTGTATTTTTTAAAAAAAATGTCTAAAGGAGAAACAGCTAGGCTCACTTCAGTAGATTAAGTTACATGAACCTTCAGAACCTGTCCTATTTCCTTATGTTGGCAAGCTAACACAAAAGAAGTTTATTGAGCTATAAGATTTTAAAGATATTCTTTCCCTAGAAGTATGAGTCATTTCATGACTAACAATTTGCTGTCCTTTCATGACATTCTTAAAGAGGTGCCTGACCTTTCCCAAAGATAATCAACATCCTTCTCATTTCAGTATTCTCTAAATCAGAATTTTGTTCCATTTTCCAAATGCTAGACCATTGAAATCTTGTGGGTACTACCAGTTTTCCCGAGTGAATAAAGGCACCTCCAAAATAAGAATATTCTTATCATCACAAAAGATTTTGGCTCACAGATTAGCCTTCTAGAAGCTCTCTGGTCTGGAAATAGGCCTATTGTAAACTCAGAACATTCAAAATGTCCCATCTTAGTGCTGGAACAATCCATGAAGGAACTCTCCACCAAAGTTATACCAAACATCAAGCAACACTTGTAAGCTATGGGTTTCTAGGTGGTGGGACTAAACTGATTTTTTTTGCATAATTAGATTTGTTTAAAATGTGCATTTCTGATTAATCCATTTTTATTGATCAGTTCATTTATAGTGCTCATAATAAAGTGCACCCCAAGAATTACTTAATTTTCAAAATGTGCTGCCTGTTTTGAATGCTTCAAAATATCTTTAGAACTATAGTAAAGCTTGGTGAAAATACAATACTAAAAATGTAATTTAAAGTGAATCCCATGTTGACGTTATTTCCATTTTATACAAGTCTCTAATGGTAAAACTGCTTGGATTTAAATACTTTGGAAATTTTCCTGGACCTGTTTCTTTAGTTTCATCCTTTAAAAAAAATCCATCTATTTGATATTCAATGAAGCATAAGCATTTTCACTAAAGTAACTTGCTTGTGACGACTGCTTGTATGAGAGTGATACCCATTTTGAAATTAGGTTTCAATAAGAAGAGCAGAGACTAATGCTCAGAAAATCGGGTTAGTTTGTTATTACTAGAAGTTTTAGCAGCTGTAAAAAGAATTAATTAAAATTCTCAACTGGGTTATATCCAGTATCAGACTAGTGGACTTCACTGGAACAAAAGAACTGTACTTTCTCTCCTCTTTGTCTTTCTGCCCCCCCCCCAAACTCTCTAGAATAGATACTAATAATGTAAGATGCTTTGTAATGTGGAGAAGAATCCTCCACCCACCTCATTTGACAGACTATTTTGATTGAAGTACAGCAGCATTTTATTTTAAGTCATATTTTACCTAGCAGTTAAATATTTCAAAGCAGCTCACAACAATTCCTAGATTTTATAATTATCTCCTGAAGTTTTCAAAATTGAATATTATTGTACCATGCTTGCTACGTTATCTTGAAATAATAACACCTCCTATTTTAACCAGCAGCTGTTTGCTCTTATAGTTACAGCACAACCCAAAATAATATTTTTATTTGGTTTCAGTTTTTTTATCCAGGCCTATTAACCTTGAAGTGCTTATGTTCTATGCACTTTTGTTCTTTCTGTTAGTTAAATAAGCTTCATTACTAGGTTGGTATTTCTAGAGCTGGTGTTTGAACTTACCTGTTGGTGTCCACCAGCAAGTGGAAAAATTGACTCCTCAAAAGTTTCCTAATTATATAAATATATGTTAGAACAGAGGTCTTCAAACTTGGCCTTTTTATGACTTGTGGTCTTCAACTCCCAGAATTCCTCAGCCAGCATGCCTGGCTGAGGAATTCTGAGAGTTAAAGACCACAAGTCATACAAGGGCCATGTTTGAAGGCCCCTGTGTTAGAAGATTAGGGTTTACAAAAAAGGGGGGGAGAGAATGAAGAGAATCCTATAGAAGGTGAATGCAATATTGGATGTATTCCTTCAATTTTGACCTGGTAAAATATCCTTCTGCTTAATTTAAATAAAAAGGATAATGTAAATAAAAAGAATTTCAAGTGCATTTTTTCATAAAATCTGTTGGCTGCAAGGAGCTCCTGCAAGTTCATCTTTATTGCGGATCCCATGCTTGAGTGATTGAATCAAGTTTAATTGAAGAATACTAGGTAATCCAAGTTAGACAAATAAAACTATTTAATGCTTTTGAAAATTTAAGAGCAAGAGTTCTCTTTAACTATTTAGGTAAATGTAGCAACTAATTCTCTGTTGTTTATCCTTGCCGCAGGTCTGAAGAACTGTTGCTGACTACAGCAGTGCCAGCATTCCAACTTTCTTAAACCTGCCAACATCTTAAATGGACTTTCCTGTGGTGGTACCCTTATAAAATGATGACAGCTACATCAGTTTGCACATTCTAATCACTTTCCAGCGTCACAAGAGATTTTTACATATACATAATCTAAGTGTATGCAACTGGTAAAACCAGAACCTACATCCAGTATTACCAGTGAGAGACATTGTTCATTTACCAATGTTGTACATGTATGAAATCTGTACTGTATACTGCAACAAACCCCATACTTCCTATTGGAGAGTACAATAATGTAAATCCTAAAAGCACCACTATTTTAGCATAATAAAAGAAAGTCCAAAGAGCCTCCTAGACTATTCCAGATAATTTTGCTTCATTGGTATTTGTAGCTTATTGTAACTTTTTTAAAAAAAAATACAGGATCATCATTGTATTGTACAAAAGCGCTTTGATTAACACAACAGCTATATAGTTTTTTAATTTTAGGATTAAAAAAACCTGTGGAGACAGTGAACTAGTGTCTTTAAAATGAGTCCTTTCAGTATAATGTCTGTCTAAAGACATTGCCTTTAATATCTGTTGGGAAGGAAATGTCCAGATTTTTCAACCTTTTATCGTATGTTTCCTTTTCCTTGTTTACATAGGGAACAATGTTTATAGTTGTGTGTACAGTGGGGGTCTACAACAAGAAGTGTATATTTTAAAATAATTTTTAATGATTTAACAATTTTTTGTAAATCATTTCTGGGCTTCTGCAGCTGTAGATTCTCACTGTGAATTCCCTTGCTTGCTCATGCATAAGTGTATTTGCAATACCAAATATACAGGTTTAGTACTTTTGCCTGTTAGTGATTGTTTTATATGTGTAACGTTTTGGTTGAGATGTTAAATGGTGGACGAGTACTGTGGATGTGAATGTGGGAAGTAATTTTAATCATGTGTAATTGGTCCCAAGGCCTAAGTTGCAGTAATTACCTTTTTGCAGATTTATTTAACAATGCCTTGTTGCTTTGTATGCATTGTTTGGGTGTAAAGATTGCGTGTAAAATCCAACAGGGAGCCACAATATTTAAATTGACAACCTAATGTTACAACTGCTTTGAGGTGGCCAAATGTAAACTAAAAGCCTTAATTAAAAGTGGTGCAATTTTGTATGACTTAGCATCAGTAGTTCAATAAATTTGGATTGCCATGCAAGGGCTTGCATTACAACTGCCTGTTCTGTAACAGATTGTTTTGTGTAATGTTTTAACTCATTAACAAAATGTTAACATGATCAAAAAAGCAGAATTTTTTAAAGAGCCTAAGTCAGATTTATACACTTCCAACCACTTTTATCATTGTCCCAATTAATAATAATGATAATGATAATGAAGTTGGAAGGGACCTTGGAGGTCATCTAGTCCAACCCCCTGCTCAGGCAGGAAACAGTATACCATTTTGGACAAATAGCTGTCCAGTCTCTTCTTAAAGACTTCCAGTGTTGGAGCATTCACCACTTCTGGAGGCAGATTGTTCCGCTGGTTAATTGTTCTAACTGTCAGGAAGTTTCTCCTTAGTTCTAGGTTGCTTCTCTCCTTGATTAGTTTCCACCCATTGCTTCTTGTCCTGCCTTCAGGCGCTTTGGAGAATAGCTTCACTCCCTCTTCTTTGTGGCAGCCCCTGAGATATTGGAACACTGCTATCATGTCCCCGCTAGTCCTTCTCTTCATTAAACTAGACATACCCAATTCCAGCAGCTGTTCCTTATATGCTTTAGCCTCCAGTCCTCTAAACATCTTTGTTGCTCTTCTCTGTACTCCTTCTAGAGTCTCAACATCTTTTTTACGTTGCGGTGACTAAAACTGCATGCAGTATTCCAAGTGTGGCCTTACCAAGGCATTGTAAAGTGGTGTTAATACTTCACGTAATCTTGATTCTATCCCTCTGTTAATGCAGCCTAGCACTGTGTTGGCTTTTTTGGCAGCTGCAGCACACTACTGGCTCATATTTAAATGATTGTCCACTAGGACTTCGAGATCCCTCTCACAGTTACTACTATTGAGCAAGGTACCCCCTATACTATACCTGTACATTTGGTTTTTCTTGCCTAAATGTAGAACCTTGTTTTTTTCACCATTGAATTTCATTTTGTTAGATAGTGCCCAGTGTTCAAGTCTGTCCAGATCCTCCTGTATCCTAAGCCTGTCTTCTGGATTGTTGGCTATTCCTGCCAGCTTGGTGTCGCCTGCAAATTTGATGAGTTCCCCATCTATCCCCTCGTCCAGATCGCTGATGAAAATGTTGAAGAGCACTGGGCCCAGAACAGAGCTCTGGGGCACCCCACTACACACTTCCCCCCATATAGATGCGGTTCCATTGAGGACCACACGCTGAGTACAGCCAGTCAGCCAGCTACGGATCCATCTAGTTCTGATGCTGTCTAACCCACATTTTTCTATCTTGTCAAGCAGTAGATTGTGATCTACTTTATCAAATGTCTTACTGAAGTCCAAGTAAATTATATCTACAACCTTCCTCTGGTCTACTAATTTTGTCATCTTGGCAAAGAATGGAATAAGATTTGTCTGGCATAAACGTTTTGATAAACCCATGTTGACTTTTGGTTATCACTTCGTTTGCTTCTAGGTGTTCACTGATTCATTGCTTATGTTTTCCAGAATCTTCCCAGGTATTGAGGTCAGGCTGATAGGTCTGTAATTTCCTGGGTCCATTTTCCTTTTTTGAAGATGGGAACTACATCAGCTCTTTTCCAGTCCTCTGGTAATTCCTCAGTGCTCCAGGATCTTTAAAAAATATAGTTCAGTGGTTCTGAGATCACATTTGCTAGTTCCTTGAGAACCTTGGGGTGTAATCCATCTGGTCCTGGTGATTTAAACTCGTCTAGGCTGGACAGGTGCTCGCTTACCATTTTCTTGCCTATCTTAACTTGTGTTTCTATTCTGTTTTTGATGGCACTATTTTTGATAGGTTGGTCTGTTTTTTCCCTTTGTGTAAAGGAAAAAATTGGTAGACCCCAACTAGTATCTCAGTTCCATAAGCACAAGCCAGTATAGCCAGTGGTGAAATATTGTGGGAACAGTAGTGTAAATATTTCAAGGATCCCCCATTGCTTATATACCTAAGATGCAGTCAGGTCCAGAAATATTGGGACATCGACACAATTCGAACATCTTTGGCTCTATACACCACCACAATGGAGTTGGAATGAAACAAACACAATGTGCTTTAACTGCCGACTGTCAGCTTTAATTTGAGGGTATGTACATCCAACGCAGGTGAACGGGCTAGGACTTACAGCAGTTTGCATATGTGCCTCCCACTTGTTAAGGGACCAAAGGTAATGGGACAGAATAATAATCATAAACCATACTTTCCCTTCTTAATACTTGATTGCAAATCCTTTGCAGTCAATCACAGCCTGAAGTCTGGAATGCATAGACATCATCAGACGCTGGGTTTCATCCCTGGTGATGCTCTGCCAGGCCTCTACTGCAACTGTCTTCAGTTCCTGCTTGTTCTTGGGACATTTTCCCTTCAGTTTTGTCTTCAGCAAGTGAAATGCATGCTCAATGGGATTCAGGTCAGGTGATTGACTTGGCAATTGCATAACATTCCACTTCTGTCCCTTCACAAACTCTTTGGTTGCTTTTGCAGTATGCTTTGGGTCATTGTCCATCTGCACTGTGAAGCACCGTCCAATGAGTTCTGCAGCATTTGGCTGAATGTGAGCAGATAATATTGCCCGAAACACTTCAGAATTCATCCTGCTGCTTTTGTCAGCAGTCACATCATCAATAAATACGAGAGAACCAGTTCCATTGGCAGCCATACATGTCCACACCATGACACTACCACCACCATGCTTCACTGATGAGGTGGTATGCTTAGGATCATGAGCAGTTCCTTTCCTTCTCCATACTCTTCTCTTCCCATCACTCTGGTACAAGTTGATCTTGGTCTCATCTGTCCATAAGATCTTGTTCCAGAACTGTGAAGGCTTTGTTAGATGTTGTTTGGAAAACTCTAATCTGGCCTTCCTGTTTTTGAGGCTCACCAATGGTTTACATCTTGTTGTGAACCCTCTGTATTCACTCTGGTGAAGTCTTCTCTTGATTGTTGACTTTGACACACATACACCTACCTCCTGGAGAGTGTTCTTGATCTGGCCAACTATTGTGAAGGGTGTTTTCTTCACCAGGGAAAGAAGTCTTCAGTCATCCACCACAGTTGTTTTCCGTGGTTTCCCGGGTCTTTTGGTGTTGCTGAGCTCACCGGTGCGTTTCTTCTTTTTGAGAATGTTCCAAACGGTTGTTTTGGCCACGTCTAATGTTCTTGCTATCTCTCTGATGGGTTTGTTTTGTTTCTTCAGCCTAATGATGGCTTGCTTCACTGATAGTGACAGCTCTTTGGATCTCATCTTGAGAGTTGATAGCAACAGATTCCAAATGCAAATAGCACACTTGAAATGAACTCTGGGCCTTTTATCTGCACATTGTAATTGGGGTAATGAGGGAATATCACACACCTGGCCATGGAACAGCTGAGAAGCCAATTGTCCCATTACCTTTGGTCCCTTAACAAGTGGGAGGCACATATGCAAACTGCTATAAGTCCTACCCACTGAGTTGGATGTACATACCCTCAAATTAAAGCTGACAGTCTGCAGTTAAAGCACATTGTGTTTATTTCATTCCAACTCCATTGTGGTGTATAGAGCCAAAGATGTTCGAATTGTGTCGATGTCCCAATATTTCTGGACCTGACTGTAATCATGGCTTTATACTACTAAAAGTTCCTATGGTTTGTTTCAATAGAAACTTTGCAGAGTTGATCTGTATCCACTGAGAAATGTGAATATTCCATGGCTGATGTACTGAAGAAATCAACATAATAGGGTGATTTTCTCTCTTGCCCCAAAAAGGTGAAAATGCATAACCAGATCTTTATGATATCTGGCTCCTCATTCCTTCCAGACATTTCCCTTCCTTCATCCTAGATAACAGTTCTGTTTCTCGTAACTGTTTCTTTTGTACCTTATCTGACTGCTTTGTTTTTTTGGACTGTCCTCAGCTCCCAGGCTTTTTTGAAGCTAATGGATTAAGAAGATAGCACATCTGTGATTGTAAGACATTCGTGTATATAAGAATTTTGATTATTTGCTTCTGTATCCACTCCCTTTTTCTATGACAAACATCACACTCCTCTGTAACTTGGTCTGTCTTTCTACATATAATTTTGTATGCAATTACAAGAAAAATTACCTTTTTTTGACTCATGCATGCATATATTTAGATGCAGTGCTAGAAATCTGTATAAAAAGATTTAGAAATTTGAAAAAACTTTGTTTACCTGAAGAGACAAGATTCAATCTAGCTCTGTAGAAAGGAACAATTTTCAGGCACTTTTTGATTTCTTGCTTAGGACTTGGGTGAGAGTCAGTGTAGTGCAGTGTTTCCCAAACTTGACAATTTTAAGGCATGAGGACTTCAACTCCCAGAATTCCACAGCCAGCAACACTGGCTGTGGCATTCTGGGAGCTGAAGTCCACATGCCTTAAAATTGTCAAGTTTGGGAAACACTGGTGTAATGGTTAAGGCATCAAGCTAGAGAGAACTCAAGAGACTGAATTCTAGCCCTACCTTAGGCACAAAGACAGTTGGGTGACTGTGGTCTAGTCACTTTCTCTGAAACCTAGGAAAGAGGCAGTAGCAAACCACTTCTGAAAAATCTTGACAAGAAAACTGCAGGGACTTGTCTAGGCAATCTCCAAGAATCTGACACAGTTAAATGGAAAGAAAAGAATGTTTTAAGGCAGGAGTCCCCAACATGGGCCGCGTAAACAAAGCCCCATCCACAGGATGCAGGCAGCACACAAAACCATGGCCCCTCCGGTCTGCAGAAAAATATCTCTCCACGGAACCGGGCCCTGGTGCCTAAAAGGTTAGGGGCCTCTGTCATAAGGTATAGACCATGGTACGTCAGTTCCCTAATATGTTGCTTCTTCCATGTCTATAGATGACAACTCAAAATATTACTTGCTTCTAAATCAAAGCAGATTCCCTTTCAAGAACTGCAAGAGAATAATTGTTATCAATAATGCTGTGTTCACCATGAGAATCACTTAACCCAAGATATTGGGGGCTTTACATAACTTAGGAACTTCAAAATGGATGTGATAGCAAAAATATCATCCGTCAAGCAAATCAAAG